GTGCCCTCAGAGGGAGTCCAGCCAAGCCATTCCCTGACTCCTGACACAGAAACCAGGAGATAATGAGTGCGTATTGTCCTAACCATTGTAACAACATGGATACACAGTAATAGAAAATGAATACACTACTTCCATAAATGATAAACACATACAAAAGATTTATACATTTCTCTCTCTCTCTCTCTCTTTTTTTTTTGCTCCAAATTTGGAAATTATTTAACATGGTCATATATGCATGTACTCTCTTAATTTCTAAGGCTGTCTTGTATTTCAGAGATTGAGGCTCCACATTTTCCTATTTTATGCACTTCTAGATTGTTTCCCTTGGCTTTCAAAAGATCCCATTCTGTCGTCAGGGAATATATGAAAGTGGCTTCCAATGCCTAGGGACAGTAAACCATTTTTAAACATCTATCTGCTTTAGTTCCTGCTTCCCAGTCTTGTCTTTCTAGCCTTTCTTCCACTTGAGGTTTGAACTAAGATTAGTAACCATTTGGTTTACTCAGGACTAGGGTTTTTCTGGAATGCAAGATTTTTGGTGCTAACACTGGGGCAGTCCCCTCTCCCCCAAAGGGACAGTCGCTAGTCCTGCAACCCCTTTAAAAGTTCAAACAAGAGGAAAAGAAGGCATTCTAAGGACTGCAGGTGATTTCCTCTATGCTCAGCCAACAGTGAAGGAATAACAGTCCCCACGTCTGGTCTCTGCATTGCGCCACACTTGCATACCCAGCTTGGGGTTCCCTGCGAGGCCTCTGCTAAAAGTGAATATGCAAGTGTCTTTACCTAATGCAAGAATGAATAAAAGACTTTGCATTTTCAGAGCAATCATCTACCTCTTTTTATAGGAGGGATAAACCTCTCAACCTAAAAGAATAGTTACCCACACAGGGCTTGGATTACGCCTCATAAAACAGCAAGCCTTCTATTATCACCTAAATAAAGCTGCCATCAAGCTGGAACAAAGAGGCCAGGCAGAGAAAGTCTCTGAAAACAAGAGGCTCGGCATTTTACTTTTTTTATTTTTTATTTTTCTCTCAATATATGAAATTTATCGTCAAATTGGTTTCCATACAACACCCAGTGCTCATCCCAAAAGGTGCCCTCCTCAATACCCATCACCCACCCACGCTCCCCTCCCTCCCATCCCCCATCAGCCCTCAGTTTGTTCTCAGTTTTTAAGAGTCTCTTATGCTTTGGCTCTCTCCCACTCTAACCTCTTTTTTTTTCCTTCCCCTCCCCCATGGGTTTCTGTTAAGTTTCTCAGGATCCACATAAGAGTGAAAACATATGGTATCAGTCTTTCTCTGTATGGCTTATTTCACTTAGCATAACACTCTCCAGTTCCATCCATGTTGCTACAAAGGGCCATATAGTATCGAAAATCTATAAACAGCTCACCAAACTCCACACCCAAAAAACAAATAACCCAGTGAAGAAATGGGCAGAAAACATGAATAGACACTTCTCTAAAGAAGACATCCGGATGGCCAACAGGCACATGAAAAGATGCTCAACGTCGCTCCTCATCAGGGAAATACAAATCCAGACCACACTCAGATATCACCTCACGCCAGTCAGAGTGGCCAAAATGAACAAATCAGGAGACTATAGATGCTGGTGAGGATGTGGAGAAACGGGAACCCTCTTGTACTGTTGGTGGGAATGCAAATTGGTGCAGCCACTCTGGAAAACAATGTGGAGGTTCCTCAAGAAATTAAAAATAGACCTACCCTATGACCCAGCAATAGCACTGCTAGGAATTTACCCAAGGGATACAGGAGTACTGATGCATAGGGGCACTTGTACCCCAATGTTTATAGCAGCACTCTCAACAATAGCCAAATTATGGAAAGAGGTTCGGCATTTTAAAGGCTTCGGAAATGCACAGTAGGGTGGTGATGCCGGGGTCTGGAGTCTGACTGGCTAGAGGCCTGGAGGAGATTACTTCCTGCCTCCGCTTCTCTGTTTTCTCATCTGCAGGGCCTAATACATGGCAGACGTTTTGTAAATCTACATCCCACCCTCTCACTTTTCCAGAAGAGGACACGGAGGTCGTGCCGGGTGGTCCGAGGTGAACGCTCGTTTCAGAAGGGCGGATAAGCCCATTCGACCTTGATGACACCCGCGTCCAAGTGCACTTGGGAAGAGGCACTGAGAGGAGGCTCCAGAGCCTGGGGCCCCACTTCCTGCCCTCAGAAAGGTGACACCCCAGGTTTACGGCCCACACGTGAACTATATCCAGAGACAGACATTGCAAATCTGCTCAGTAGCACATTTGAGAGTCTCCACGAGGACAGATGGTTAGGGGATGTTTCCTTGCGCCCAATGGCAGGATTTCTGGCTTTGTGTTTATGACTTCATGCTTCCTTGTCAGCGTTCAAAGCTATGGTTCTAAGGAATGTAAAAAAACAAAACCTAAAAACCTACACTTTCATATACTGGAAGCCCATAAATTAAGCACCTTTTAGCCTTTTCTTTCTTGGACTCAAAAAACCCAATCCACATACCATTTCCTGGGGAGCTGGAGATGCATTTGTGTGGCAGCTCGGAGCCTCCCATCCACAGCTGTCATTCTGCAGTCACGGTGCTCGGAGACCCTGGGACAAAGCTGTTACCTGCGCTTGCCAGCTCAGTAGTCAGGCTAAGTGGAATAAAAAGGGGTCCCAGGCAATGAGCACCCTCCTTTCACTCATGACGCTTCTAAATAGAGGCACGGGTGCCTGTGTGTTTGCTATTTTTATTTGCAAGTGTCCCATCTGCGGAAGGGCCTTTAAAACAACAAATGGGCTTTCGTTGGGGAAGGAAAACAAAATTGTCCGTTGAGAGTAATGAAAGTTTACTGATGATGACAGAAGCCATTAAAGATTTTTCAATGTTTATTTATTTCTTTATTTGAGAGAGACACAGAGTGCATGAGTGGGGGAGGAGCAGAGAGGGAGGGAGGGGGGAGACAGAATCCTAAGCAGGTTCCATGCTTAGCACAGAGCCTGACTCAGGGCTCAATCCCACCACCAACTGTGAGATCATGACCTGAGTCCAGCTCCAGAGTCAGATGTTTAACCAACTGCACCAGCAGGTGCTCCTGTTAAAGACTTTTAGAATAGACAGGGATCTGGGGTCTCCCATGTGTGACACCACAAGGTGTGTTATCAAAGAGAGAGATGTGGTTAAATGACTGTTCCTGGGCCACGGGGACAGGAAAGGAGCCAGAGAACCTTCGAGGAATGGCCGACAGACTTCCCTTTGTCTGGGGGCTCAGAGGGCAGAAGAAACAAAGGGGGGTGGTAGCCCATGCGGATTCCTTCTGTACATTTTATCTTCTTACCTCCCTTTTTGCCCCACTCCCACCCCCTGGCCCTGAGACCTTTTAGTGACGGGCCTTCTGAGCCCGCAAACCTATCATGTAAGGTTTATATAGCCCCCTTACGAGGAAGCTAGGATTGCATCCCTGAAAATGTCACTCAAGGTTTTTGCAGGAATCATTTCGGTCTCCTTGGTTACTCGAAGCCATCCAGGTGACGTGTGTGTCTTTCACAAGCACGTGCTGCGAGGAAGCAGTTGAGAACCCAAGTGTCACAAGCACCAGGGTGTGCACTGCCCACGTTCAGCAGCAATGGCAGTAGAAGAGGCAAACTGATATAGAGTTGATACGTGACTCAATAATGATGCATATTTCCGCTCTGGAATTTTTCACTGTCCTCAGTCATTCGTTCATTTACCAGATATTTATTTGGCCCTAGCCATCATGCCCCTCATGTTCCCACTTTCTCTGCAAACACCTTTAATTCCCTTGCTCTCTACCTGCCTGGCCGATACCAATACTAGAGAAACCAAATATCCACTTATTCCATTCCTGCAGCGGAGTAGCCAAACATTGGCTTAGCAAAGCACACAGTTTCATGTGTTTGTCTCACTTTGAGTCATGTTCATACATTTCAAACGGGCATACAATGCTGCTTGCTAATCTTATCACAGATCCCTAGTGGTCTCTTTCCCATTCCCTAAAGTGACTTTTTAACACATTGCCCTCTCTCCTCAAACATCTTGCTTCCCCTCCTCCCCCTTCACTCTCAACAAATGACCTTGCTCTAAAGTTCTAAGAGAAATTAGAAACAGTGAAATAGGAATTTCTTGTGCTTCCCTCCACTAGATTCACCATGAGCCTAAGGTTTGCACCTGCGCTCCAAGGGTGGTGAATAAAGTATCTCTTCAGATGTCAACCACATGTCTTCCACCTTCTCTCCCCTTTTCAAGAACATCACTCGTGTAAGTATCCCTTCTTTCTCCGGGATCATTAGTTTCCTCTTTGTACCAGATCATTCTAATGTGAAACAAAAGTGCCTCCAATCCTTAATAAAATATAAGATAGAACCACAGAATCCTCTCTCAACAATCTACCAATCTATTAGTGCTCCTTACCTCCCCAAGCAAACATTCTTGCAAGGGCTGTCCAGAGTTCCTGTCTTTACTACACATTGGGACTCCGCTAACACTGCTAATTAAAATTCCTGAGGATCCTGACTCTGCCACATTCTTTCTCTATTTTTGCCTTACCTGATTTCTACGGAATAGTTGATGTGATCAGACATTCTATCCTTCTTCAAACACTTTTTTCCCTTGGCCTCTGTGATAGCACACTCTCCTGATTTTTCTTTTACTTAGTTGTGGCCATTTATTCAGAGTCACTCATTCTTAGTCTCCTTTATTGACTGATGCTCTTCTGCTTGGCCTTAAATATTGGAATATTCCAAGGGATATGTCTGGGACTCCTCCTCCCAAATGATACTCTCTTTAGGTGGTTTCAAGTGTCTCATTTCAATGTCATTTATAAGATAAAAAGTCTCACCTTTGTGCATATACAGATCTTTTACACACCAGACTCTTGCATCTAATTGATTACTAGATGCCTTTACTTAGTAACGTATCCCCCAGTCTTTCCTATATCAGTGACACTTGCAACTGAAAGTCAAAAAACAGGATGAAGTCTCTTTTTCCCTTACCCATCATATTGAATTAATTAGAAGGCTCTGAAAATTCTTCCTCCAGAACACATCCTGAATCTCTCCATTTCTAATGCTACAACCTGAAAGAAAGCCAACATCATTACTTCTCTAGATTATTCCATTAAGCCCTCAATGATCTCTCTTCTTCCAGGTAGGTATTATCTGTATTTAACATATGAGGACACTAAAGCTCCACAAGGTCAAATGACTTCATACATTCATTCAGAAATATTTCTGAGCACCTGTTTTGTGCTGCCAGATGCTTGTCTAAGTTGCAGGATATAATGGCAGTGCCAGTTCTATCTGACGCTAAAGCCCTGTTCTCAGTCTCACATACCATATTGGTATCGGATCAGGAATGTGCCAGAACATTCCTTCTAGTACAAGAAACAAATACATAGAAAATACACTGGTATGTAAGAACATCACATGCTTTATAATAGCAGAAATATACTAACTCAACCTGAGGGCTTTGGGGAGTTTACCTAAGGGAGCCAAACTGATCTATTTCTATTGGAAATTTCTCCCAAGGATCCTGACATCTTTTCCTTTACCAAAGTGGCTTTCTCTACCTGGCCTACCTTGTAGATCATTAGCCTGGCTAATGACTACTTAACTCTGCAAAAGCACTGCCTTATCTAGGAATGGTCTACCCTTGGCCTATCCATGTCAACAAAAGTTCTCTTCCTCTGTGTTCCTTAGTTGATGCTTATTATATTGTATTGCAATTTGGGGTTTATACCTACAAATAACTTTGTGAAATCCTTTAAAAAATATTAGGTGCAGTTGATAAATCTAGATGGAAATACTTGGAAAATGCATAGGGAACATCTAACTATCTAACTTTCCTTTGCAAAACCTGACACTCATCACCATGTTCTCTCTTACTAGCCTACATGTCTTGAAAACTAAAGAAGTTTAAAATGTGTATTCAGTACAGGGTTGAATGGAAATGTCATCCATATCAGTCACTACACAAGCCTTGAAAACAAATACAAGCCCTTCTCTTTGATCTTTCCAATGAATCACAAGACTCATTTGCCTTTCTTAGTAGAATGGTGCTATAGTGGTGGTGGTGACACTTCCGAGGGCAAAACAGAATCTGAACCAACTTTCCCCCGCACTCCAGGAAGTGGAGACTCTGTAAGGATGTTGCTGAAGATTGAGCCATCCCAGCCATCAAAGAAAGTGGGAGCTAGGTACTTTGTTTGCACGTGTATGTATTTTTTTATTCCGAATGACTCGGGTTTTAGTTTTAATGGTTACTGCATCTCTCATTCAAGGCTTTTCATCTGGAATTCATCTCTATTCAAACAAAGTTGGGTTTATGGATGCTTGGCGCAGCAAGCAAGACCACACATCATGGGGAAACGCCCGGTATTTCAGTAGGAGAGTGTCTGAAAGGATAATTAGTAGGGATGTGGGCTCTGCTGAACATCAGGATGTTCTGGCACATTCCTGATCCGATACCAATATGGTATGTGAGGGGGTTTGGGGGGGAAATTTAAGGAAGCAGGAATGCTCTCTGCATAGGTCACTGTCAGAAGGCAGGGGTAATTCTATAATTGAGCATGTCTCTTAAAATTTATTTATTTATTTATTTATTTATTTATTTATTTATTTATTTTTGAGAGAGAGAAAGCGAGAACGATCAGGGGAGGGGCAGAGGGAGAGGGAGAGAGAATCCAAACAGGCTCCAGGCTGTCAGAGCAGAACCCTATGTGGGGCTCAAACTCGTGAACCATGAGACCATGACCTGAGCCAAAATCAAGAGTTAGATGCTTAACAGTATGAGCCACCCAGGCACCCATATATAATTGGGTATCTTAATAAATCTTATATCTAGAACCAAACAAACAAACAAACAAATGAAAACAAACAAAAAAAACACACAAACAAACCAAAGAGTGAGGTCAAAGCATTAATTGGTAAAGGTGAGGTAGTCACTCAAGTTTGCCAGGAGAAGGGGCCTGAGATATTATGAATTATAAGAAATGTACATATCTGATCTTCACCCACGTCTTTTGGGTGGCTCACATTTGGGGCCATTGCCTGAGTAATACCCATAGGGTATGCAGGGCAAAACCAGATGTACACCTTTGTTCAAGTTTCTAGAACTGCTAAGTCAGCCCTTGCTAGCAAACCACCAAATCATCACCTGGCTGGACGGCAGAAACCAGCTGGCTTTTGGAGGGGTAACGTGGTACCAATGCCACCTCTGGGGTCCACCCCAGACTCTGAGGCTGGAATGCTTGGGTTTGAAGGCTGACGTTCCCACCCATTGCCTAGCTTTGCACATCTATGCTCTGTTTCCTCCACTAAAATAGTATATACCTTGTAGGATCATTGTAAAGGTTGAATACTTCCATGCATGTGAAGTTTCTAGACCACTGAATGGCATATTGCCATCTGTGTTACTTTTCAACCCCACCACGCACACACATTCCTGGAATCCTTGGACCCCATACCTGAACTCAGTGGTTAGACAAACCCAGTTAGAGCTCCCAGGGCTGCATGGTTAGACAACCTGGATTAGCGCTTTCCAGTGAGGGGCAGGGGTCGTGGTGAGTAGGCAGGCCTGTCATGTGGTATTTGTGGAGCTGCAGAGATCAGAGTCTGAATCTGGCATGAGGAGTCTGAATTGATTCTGCCAGTCCCCTGGGTCCTACACAGGGTGCCTGTAAGGCAGGGGTCATGGACCATGTGCAGATAAACACACTCTTGAGTGCAGTGGGCCAGAAGTGCCATTTTTCCAGGCCTCTTTCTTTCCAACGTGCATTTTCACACACAATAGATCCCAATAAAGCCTGTAAAACTGCCACAGTTTCCCCATTTTAGGAAAGGCCAGCCTCCCATTATAGGGAGGGGCTGTGTGCAGCAAGCATTAGTGCTGTAAATCACAAGGATGGGCTCTGCACACAGCGACTCCTTGCTTATAAGCCTTTTAATGTCTTCTTCCGTCACTGGGGCGTATGTTATTTACTCTCTGCCGGAGCTTTGGCTTCTGGCCTTCTGCTGACCATAAAAGTAATAGCCTATGTTTGTGCACAATGACAAATCAGAGAAAGCAAATATTATACCTGTGGAGTACAAATCCACCTGAACTCCTTTTGATCCCTATCACAAGGTTAGGTTATTTGGATGTGTCAGAGTAAGAGGATTTGGCTCTGTTTCCTTATGAGGGTAGATCTTACGAGCAAGCAGAGCAAATAGGCAAATACAGTTTGATTTGAGGGGTACAGACAAGGGCCTCTGTCCAGCTCCCCATCCTCCACAAAATGTGCAAGTATACTTTTAATCTATGTGCCATTGACTGCTTTACTCAAGAGTGTACAGTCTGAGGGCGGTCAGCTGGTCTTTCCTATTGATCTATTGCCAGATTTCAGACCTAGGGGCATTTGAATTTCAAGGAATGCCAAGAGTTTAAGTTGAAGGAATACATCTCCAGTTGTGTAATTCAACCAACAGTTAGTCTGTGGTGGAGGTATTTGCTGGAGCATGGCAGGTTGAGGTCTAAGGTTTTGGGCTACAATTTGCTATGCATGTGAACGTGGGTTCGTGCCCACTCAGATTCTAAAAGATATAGACAATTCTTTTTAGACCATTGAGGGACCATTAGTCCCATTGTGGCCACTACATTCTGTTTTGGTTCAGTTGTATGCTTATTATTCTACATCATAAGCAAAAAGCTCCCAATATGGATCATGATGAAAATAATTTAATTGCCAGCTTGATGGAAACTCAGAAATTCCAACATCCCACCTCCTAAGAACCTATGCTAATTTCTAGGAGAAAATTCCCAATCGGGTAGACTATGAGCGTGGAGAAGGCTTTCCTGGGGCTGTGTTCTAAGGGAGGCCCATGTTCTGACCCTGGGGAAAGAAACTATAGACCCAGGTCAACTAGTAACCACAGCTGAACAAACATAGAAACAGAGGAATGGAACAAGACATGCCCTGGAAGGATTGCGTTGAGAAGACATGACTCTGGGCAGGAGATTCAACCCTGTCATGAAGTCTGAAACGTCCATTAAAGTACTCTACCTACAGTAACGAGGACTTATGAATGTGCAAGTATAGTTTTAATCTATGTGCAATTGACTGCTTTACTCAAGAGTGTACAGTCTGAGGGAGGTCAGCTGGCATTATATTGGAAAATAACACATTTCAGGGGTAACTACAACATGTATTTCTGATAGCTAAATTTTAATCAACCCACAGTGTTCATTTGTATACCAAATGTCAGAAAGGGTCTTATTGGTGAAAAAATATTGATCTATTGAGTAGTATGAGGACTTAGAAATGGGATCTGATGGGTAAAATTCAAGGTTTCCAAGATATGTAGGTGCGCTAAGATATTTTGGAGATATCTCTGTGTTCCCTGCATCCCCCACATCTCACATGGCAAGGGTATAAAACCCAGCAAGGTCGGTAATCTGCTTATGCATGCATAACCCCTGAGATCCCCAAATGGTCCTTCATCCAGCCATCAGGAGGATTTCTGAACATCTGACTAACTTTACATCCCAGAGTACTATGTCTGCAATGTTATGTTTGGCTCAAGAGAATATTTCATGCAAAGTAAGGCCAGAACATTTAGAAGGACCAAGAACCGGACCCTCATTGAACTTACTGAATGCTAATTATTTTTGCCTGCTTGCTTAATGTTGATTTAATAAATGTCTGACATGTGGATTGGCATTTTGACCTGCTCTCTTTAGAGTATGGTAGTGAGGTTATGGATAAAAAGCCACTCTCGGGGCGCCTGGGTGGCGCAGTCGGTTAAGCACCCGACTTCAGCCAGGTCACGATCTCGCGGTCCGTGAGTTCGAGCCCCGCGTCGGGCTCTGGGCTGATGGCTCAGAGCCTGGAGCCTGTTTCCGATTCTGTGTCTCCCTCTCTCTCTGCCCCTCCCCCGTTCATGCTCTGTCTCTCTCTGTCCCAAAAATAAATAAACGTTGAAAAAAAAATTAAAAAAAAAGCCACTCTCATCTAACTTAGTCATTTTGGGGTAGCTTCTAGTCTCTACCAAACAAACTAAAACAAAAAAAACACAAAGAGTTGGACATTACTATTTTTTCACCTGTTCAAGATGTAGTCTGAAACCTTTTTTTAGAAGGATAATTATACTATGTGGTTTTTAAATACTTTTCTAAATATAAGGATCTGTGGGAACATTTCTCTAGAGACATGGGGAAAGGGAAGGGAAAACCGGATGGGGTCGGAAAAAGCTTCAAGTCTTTAGAGGGCATTAAACAGAAACACAGCACTGAAGGGAGTCAGAGGAACAGGTTTTCCCTTGGTTCTGCCACCAAACAGTTCTTTGTGGTTGGCTTTTCCTCTTGGACTCCGTTACTCTCAGCTGTGTAAAATAAGGAAGATGAATAGAAAAAGCTCAAAGGTTCCCTCTGGCTCTCAAGTTCTAGGTGTTCCAAGGGGTACAAGCAAACGGATCTCTCCACCTTCTGGGTAAGTCACCAGGAAGGTAATTCTATCCCAACAGATGAGCCCCCTGCCTGACGTTCAGGTAATAACTGGAACCACACTTTGGTGAACACTCCTCCTTTTCAATAAAGTATTATTAGAGGACAGTGGGAAATTACAAACATTTACAATTCATTGAAAATGAATTTCATTGATAGCTTTCTGATAGCTGTTAACACTTCATGAACTAGAGTGTTGATCATTCTTCCATGACTGGAAGGGGAGGTAAGAAGGAAAAGAAGGGGTCATTTTCATCAGTGGTACAGCACTGAGGACAGGAATGGGGGAGGAGGTATGTTGAGGGGTGTTCAGGACACGTGTAAGCACAAGTGGTGGTTAGTCAAAACCTGGACATCCAAGATTCCTAGGTTGCCTGGGGAGTGAGAAAGGGAAATTGGGAAAGGAGGGACAAAAAAGGCACAGGTGATTACTAAGCAGATTTGCCTATGGGTTACCTCTCCCCCAACAGGCCCTGTGCCATTACAGAAGCCACTGATGAACCCTGAATTTAGATTTGAGAGCAGAGAACACTATCCAGAAGGGGAGAAGGCACTGCCGTCTTGGGATTCCCCAACTTTCCAGCTCTCTGCCACCTTTCCTCCAGAAGCTAATGCTTTCTCCTTCTCTTTGCTTTGTGAGCTGACTCAATGGGAAGGCCCAGGTTAACAGGGCCCACCCAGTTAACAGGTGTGTGTGTGCAGAGCCATTTTTGGTTGAAATCTGCTTCCCCTGTCGGCAGTTCAGAAGGAGACTCCCGGTCTCATCTGGGCCCCCAACAGAAGCTGACATGGCATCAGCCTTCTGGTGCTCGAGGTAAGATGGCAACATTCCAAACACACTTCACAAATCTTGCTCGGGGAACATGGGCACAAGCTGCCTCAGGAGCCTACCGTTGGAGCACCTATCAGTCCCAGAGAGGGCAGCAGCCATCCTGCTTTCTTAGTGATCATCCAGCCCTATCTCTTCTGCCAAGAATATCTTCCAGAAGCTTTCTAAGATGGGGGGAGTGAGGGGGAAATTAGAACTTTTGCATATCTGAGCTCACTTTCATAGTCCCTACTCACACTTTATTGATCACTTGGTGGGTATAGATTTCTGGATTGAAAATGATTTCTCATTTTAACTTTGAAGGTGATGCTCCATGATCTGCTAAGCTTGTAATGGTAGCCTTGAGAAGTCTAAAGACATTCTGGCCCCTTCCCCTTTGCTTTTTGTCCCTGGAGCATTTAGGGATATTTCATCACACTGCAGTATTTTGGCATTTGGCAAAGATATAACTTGGTATTGCTGCCCTTGCTTTAATTATGCTGGGGACTCATTTTCCTCATTTCTCAGAAATCTTATCATATTTCATTGATAATGTCTCTATTTTCTCTGCTATTCCTTTCTTGATTGCAATTTTAGCTGGATGTTGTATGCCCTAACTTGATGACCTACATCGCTTATATTTTCTCTTCCATTTTCCCAACTTGGTTTTGCTGTTATTCTGTTTGATGTTTTGTAAAGTGTATGTTTTCAATCACTTTGATTAAGTTATATTTTCATTCCCCACAAAGTGCTCAGTTTAGAGTTTATCCCTTACTTTCCTATTTCAGTCTATGCACGTTTTCTTTTTAGTAGTGTCCTTTCAGTCAAAAGATTCTCCAAAAGGATAAAGACACACACCAGACAAAACCCGCAAGACTACAGAAGTGTCTTGACACTTGTGAAATACACATGATACTCTTCTACTTCAATGTCCCTTTTGTGGCCACATGAGTTGAGACACTCTTGTGGTTCTTGTGGCCTGCCTTGAAGCTTCTATCCTACCTCTAAAATGCTGTTTCCACCAGAAGTTTCAGGAAACAACCGAGTTGTCACCAAATCCATAAATGGAAGGGTTATGCAATCACTGTAGTCAAATGGATGAGCAAAGCCCTAACTAGCAGCTGCTTTAAAACATTGATTCAGAGTATGGCAAATCAGTACTCCAGAGTGGGGAAAGTATAGTCATGATCCTTCTGCTGAGTTTCATAGTTATAATCCAGAACGTATCACTTTTACCGACTCCAGAGGATCAGAAAAGCCACTGAAATGATCATGGTTGTTGTAAATTTTTTCTTACTGGGTAACACAAGCTCAACGTTTAATTGTAACCATGTCCATGTACCTATACTCTGTTGAGATTCATTTTCACAAGGAAATATATTTTTTTCTGGTTTTTGTTCTTTGGGGTGTTGAGATCTGGAATTCATAACTGCAGATCTAAGAATGCTAAAGCCCTTTTCAGCCACAGGCAGTTCCCTATTTAAAAGATAGATTCCAAATTGGCATTTATCTCCAGTTCCAGAGTTGGAAAGTGGGTAGCAGCCTATAAGTGCCTCCCTGCTAGGAAAAAAGAGTTCCCGGGGTCAAGGAGACCAGGAGAAAGCAAAGACAGAGGTTGGCAGGTTGTCTGAGAATTACGGAGTTTCAAATATGCACCTTTCTGTCTCTATAGACACAAAAGTAAAAGAAAAAGTGTTGTAAAGGCCCTATTCTCTCTGAGTATGAGGGGTATTTCTGTACTGTGAGTCTGTCCACTGGGAAATCTGATTTCAGCCAGTAAATCATGTAGAATGTGGCTCAACAACTCTTCCTTATCCTTTTCTTAGCTTCACTCCAGAGAAGCAAACTTCCTAATTCCATGAAGACCAAATATTTCCATTAGGATAATAATACAGATCCCATAACTGTGTTATCACACTACTGGGCATTTATTCCACAGAAATAATTCTAGAAAAGAAAATATAGTTTTACCTGTTCTTCACAGAAAAATTATTTATAATTGCAGAACTACTGCGGTGAGCATTTGTGTCACACAGGGGAATGGTATGTAAACGATGCTATTTCCTTAATGGGTCATTAACAGTAATAACTATTAAAACCATGTAACTATTAAAACCATGTAACAGTAAGAAAAGAGATTTGCAGTTAAGTTTTAGTGAGAAAGGAACACAAAATATCACCTATGTGATGATTGCCAATTTTTAAAATGTATTTATATGGACTACGGTGAGAAATAAAAAACAAAAATAAAGAATATTTACCAACAGTTGCTGGTAGAAGTTTGGTCGGTGTCTCTTTGTTGTTATTTGTCAAATAGTGGTCACCGTGGAATCTCATTCTGGAACAGCCGTTCTGCAGAGAAGCAATTGGGAATCCCTGGCCTCTGATAATACTTCCTGGGTATGTTTCATGGTATACTAGTTAGGTCTAGGATACTAAGATATTCCATGAAAACAATACAAAGCAAAACAACAAAGAAAATACTTTTGACCAAATGAATGTTAAATCCGTTTGCTCTCAAAAATGTTACTGTAGGGCTCCTTAGAGACTTAGATATGCTAATATAGAACATGAAGTTCCCAGAAGGGAAATAAATATGCAGTCTTTTCAAGACACTTCTGGCTACACAGATTCCCACCCTCTCCCCCAGCCCCACCTCCCTCTCTCCTCCCTCCCCTCCACCTGCCTCACACACACACACACACACACACACACACACACACGCACACGCACACACAGGCATTCTGCAGGACTAGTGTCTTGCTGAGCAAGCTGTAGGTCATTTCTGATTGGGTTGGCACATTTCCTTGGCTGTGCCAGAACTAAACAAACACTTCTCCAGGGTTCATCGTCTAACATAGTAGCTGAGCAATTTCTTTTCATCTTTCAAGGTCTCCCTCGAGTGTCACATCCTCTATGAGAACCTTCCCAATCCCTCCAGGCAGAACTAATGTTCCTTCCTCTCACTCCCCTTCCACTTTGCCTTTGTTATTGCACACTTTATTCTTTGGCAATTATTTGTGTTTGTTCTTCAGCTAGAAGGGCTGTTTTCAGTCCTCCCTGTGCTTCAGAATCCACTGGGGACCTTAACATAGTACAGATGCCCAGGAACCACCCCCAGAGATTCGGGTTCCTTGGGTCTGGAGTGAGACCTTGGCAAGGTCTGATGAGGACCACTGGGAGAAAGAATCAGCTCCTTAAGGCCAGGTGTGAGTTTCATTGATCTTTGTATTACTACTGCCTGTCACTAATGGATAGGCACAAACTTCTGCTAAATCAATGTGCCCTAGTGAGAAAAGAGGAAATGCTTACTTAAACACTGGTTGTTAAATTCCTCTTAGTGAAATAACGTGTTTTGAGTAGCGAGGTTCCTTCGTTTGCCATTTTAGTTATGGAAAGACAGCTGTGGAAGCGTCCAGGAGATGAGGAGAGAAAGGACACAAAAGGTCAGCATGTGAGAGACCAAGAGGAGTGACTGGTCCTCTGGTGAGAACCAAGATGCCCGATGTTCAATGTTAAGTTTTCAGTTTTGCCTCATTGCCATACCCTGCTGTTGCTCTCAAACCTTAAGGAAAGAGCATTCCAGCATAACGCTCTGAAGTTCAACCAGTCAGGGCCTGGGTTGGGTTATCCCTTGAGTTTTGTCTGAAAAGAAGAGAGGCCAGAGCCTGCATTAGGGTGAGGTGAGTGTGGTGCTTAGGGCACCAAAAACTGCAATCAAGATAAATACTATTTTGATGCAGTATTAAAAAAAAATCAAAATGGAAACAAAAATAAGTCTATGATCAACCAAATACCAACATTTTATTATTTATTTAATTATTTATTTAATTTTTTTTTTTTTTATTTGAGAGAGAGAGAGAGAGAGATATTGAGAGAAATGCCAGCAGGGGAGAGGGACAGAGGGAGAGAGATAGAATCCCAAGCAGACTCCATGCTTGGAGTGGAGCCCAATGCAGGGCTCAATCCCACAACCCTGCCATCATGAACTGAGCCAAAATCAAAAGTCGGACATCAACCGACTGAGTCCCACAGACACCACCCAAAATTTTAAATAAAGACAGAATCAATCATAGCTGTGTCCCTAAACATAGTAGAGCCTGAGGAAAGGAAAAATCAGTAATACTAATCCTGTCTTTATCTAAAACTTTGGTATTACGTTCATGATGGATTTGGGGGTTCATTTTGATTGTTTAGTATATTGCACTAAATAGTATTTATCAAAAGCTTTACTGATCTTGATCACTGAAGCATCTGGTGCCCCCACCGGTTTTATGTCTGAAGCAAGTACCCTCACTTGCTTTACTCTAGTCCCAACCCTGAGATGGACACTTGGAAACTCCTCTGAAACTAGTCTTCCAGCTTTGCAAAGGATGCTGTGTTTGAGAATACAGGATGCCCAATTAAATTCCAAGAAAGGAGGCTAACCAAAAAATTGCTCAGATGACACAGTATAACCCAACATCTATAGTCACAGAACGTCTTAAAGAAAAGAATATTGCTTTTTGATAGTAGGAGGCTTCAGACTGATCTGGAGAAGGATCCCCACTGGACTAGCCCATTGATGCAAACTGCATGCAATCCTGGTCTGGGGATTTTCTTGGGACTGACAGAAATTGGAAAGGATAATATTGAAACATGGCAAGGATACACCAACAATCTGCTACAACATTGGCATGTGTATGACACAGAAAAGCAAGGAATCCTCCCTATGCTGGAATCAATGTCTTGGGCACAGAACTTCAAATCCCTCAGTGCAGGAGACTTCTGTCCCTGAGCCCACGAGTGTTGGTTAAGTGAAATGCAACCAGGACTTGCGGTCTAGTCTATAAAACATGGATGATGCACCTGCATTGCTTGATGTATGTAAACCATTTTCTCTTGGGGATCAGTGTAAACAATTATTCAAGTTCTACAAATAAATGATGTGTTTCTTTCTGCCATCCTCACTCATCACTTCAGGGTGAAAATTTGAGGGGTAGGTACCCTTATGGGGACTGCAAAGATTTTGCTGAGAGGAAAATGTAACAGAACCACCACAACACCCCGCCCCCACCTGCAAAAACCAGCTATGGTTGGCATATCAGCTGGTGGCAGGATTCCTTTCTATGGGGTGAAGAGGTTTTTCTGTCCGTAGTGAGATACCTTGATGGGTCCTTTCAGTTGGAGTGAGTGAGCACCCAGTCATGACGCAGGTCATCAGGGCAAAGCAAAGGGAGCCACGTTGCCCTGCCTTGTAAAGTGGGAGAAGCTGTAAGTTTCAGGACATCGCCATGATGCATGGGGTGCCCTGCTGGAGAATGGACATGAAAGGGAATGAGTGCCTTTGGGGCTTGGGGAGGCTATCCAAAGCTCTGTTTGAAGATACTTGCTACACTGTGCTTTGCCGTCATTTATAGCCTCACCCTCACTCACTCCACCACCAAATTCGTCAATAAAAATCTCTCTAAATATAAGCAGTTTTTGCAAACGGCGTTTTGAGAGAAAAGCACAACAAAAGCAAAATGGGTTAGCATTCTGTGCTTGGGTTGATGGGGGGCGGGGAGTGAGGAAGTGAAATGAATAGTCAGAGAATGGGAACTTCAGGGGAACTGAAATAAAGTATAGAAGCAAAATAGAAAAAAAGAAGCAAAAGCCCTTGAAACTCCTTGGCCTGTGTTAGGTAGGGGATGGAGAAACTGGGAATGAGGGTCCTTCCTCGTGGGGGAGTGAGGCTCCAGCCACCTCTTACTATTACGAGAAAAGGTGACCCATAAGACAGGCTAGGGTGAAGACTTCCAGGTGACTGACATAGAAATGAGAGCTTAAATGCCACTACGTGTCACATAATGGCATAATGGAGCTTCTTTTCCCAGAATAATAATAATGCACTTGACAAAAGGCTTTTACATGAGTGAAGAGAACATAATTTCTGAATATTTAATGCAAATTGCCATAGAATAAAATGATCATTAAATATGTAAATGCTATTTACACGTGCTTATTGCTACCATAACTCATCTCTTATATAATGCGATCTCTGTGCCCTAATTTGTTACTTGGTCATGGGTTCCACAAATCAAAATCTGGGGCAGCTTCTCACAAAGAAGCAAGTTGATGAAATGCACAAAAAATATCTCCTTTCAGCGCTAACAGGAGGTTTCTGAATTTGGCCTTTGTGCTCTTGATCCGAGGAGGAAAGATGGAGACCAGCACCCTACTGGGAACTGATGTGATGCCAGGTGCTGAAGGGCCATTCGGATCAAAGAGAAGCCCAAATGTCCCGTCTCAAGTACACACCGTGGGTCTCCTTAGTCTCCTTTAATGTAATACTAAGCAAAAGATTAAGAAAGTTTAAAAAATTGTCCTTTGATGATCACAAGTGAGCCAAATTTCTACTTTCTCTTGAGGGCTGCTTGGGTGCTATTTATTATTTTAAAAAGAAAAAAAAGCGAAGCTGGTGAGAGCAGCCTCCCTCATTCTGACCCTCATTATTGTGCACTTTTTGGATTTTCGTCAAAGGGCCCAAGGCCTGCTTACTCAAAGTGCATCTGGGCCAGCACTGGCGTCACCAGGAGCATCTTCGTTAGAATCCACATCTTAACAGATTCCCCAGGTGGACTGTATACACATCTGTGGTGGGTTGTTTTTAAGTTTATTTACTTATCTGGAGAGAGACAGAGACAGCACGAATGGGAGAGGGGCAGAGAGAGAGAGGGAGACAAAGAATGTCAAGCAGGCTCTGCACTGTCAGCGTGGAGCCCGAGACTCAAGAAACCATGAGGTCATGACCTCAGCTGAAACTAAGAGTCAGAGGCTTAACCAACTGAGCCGCCCAGGCTCCCCCCGTGGTGGTTTTATGACAGTGTCAGTTTGGATAAGACTCCCCCGAAATTAGGGTTGGCCAAAAGAAAACCTTTGCGGGAGATTGACAAGATGGACTTAAAGCAGCCTCGGTCCTGCTCTGGGGCCCTCCTAGCCAGGGTCCCTGTAAACAGGTGGCTGGGTTCCAGCTTTTCCCTGCTGTCCCCCCTCTACCTGCACACCCAGCTCTTCTATCTGACCGTCAGCCCAGTGAATCAAGGGAACTCCAGACAGGGGGCAACAGCCTTCCATAGGCTCTAGCATCCCTTCCCTTTCCCACTGGCCTCCTAGATTTCCCAAAAAGTTCCAACTTGTTCATGCATGCAAAAGCTTCAGGTCAGTTTCCTTAGTGACCTTTCTGATTCCCCAGTTCCACTTACGGGAACTTCCCAGCTCATTCCACAACTATAATAGGTGCAGTTTGTATAATAAACCCCTTCCTCTATATTACTCAGAGCAGCTTTGCTTTCTTGGTAGAATTCTTAACTAGAAACGCATTGAAGTTCAAAGGCACTGGTCTAGGTTACAGTCGTGATTAGCAAGCAACATTGCAAGTTATCCATTTTGAGCAAGTCCACTGGCCCCATCCCTTACAGGGTTTATCCGAATGAAGTATGTACTTTCCAAGCAGTGGTGGAGGGAGATTCGGAGGTCTCTGGTAATTTCTGGTGAGTGCCCCTTATTTATATGAGAACTAGTTTGGTGGAGACAGTTCATCTGGGAAGGC